GCAACGTACGGAGAGACATTTCAATTTCGGAATCTATGATCCTTTAAATCTTGACTCTGCACCGTCTAATAATCCAACTCGTTGCAAGTTCACAAGCGGCGAAATAACTAATCTCTCTTAGCGCGGCTGTGCAATTTCGGGACGAAACAAATCCAATTTCTTCGCAGGCGGGGTGGACACGGGGACACGTTTCTGTGAACAGGATTCATTCGCGCGGTCACGAGAAGACGAGACTGTACCTTACAATAATAGTCGCGCCGTAACGAAGAGATATACGCGTGGGCGGAACGCGACGCCGGGCCTGACAAACGAAGAATCCCGCCATCGCCGCCATTACAAAAGTTTCCCCGCCGTGAAAAACGTCGGATTTCCGCTCTCGGACCTCCCTAAATCACCGGATGTGCTTTCGACCGCGAAAAGCTGAGGTTGTATCTTAGCCTTAAGTCGAAATCAGTGTTTAGTGCTTTTAAATCAGCTATCCTCGAATAAGCTATACATTCCCCCGCTGCTTATCCGCATGCTTTTGACTATTCTTTACATAAGATCACGAATTTTTCCAATCTGTTCAAACTCAACTACATAATATCTATATGTTATTCTCACAATGTTTTCATAACAGCTTTTCCTAGACCGCGATTTTGAGATTTTTTTGGTGCTTTATTCTTTGAAATTAGATTAAACTTTCTATGAGCATCTATTACCTAAATCTTAGGATTCGAATCCGGAGATGAGGATATTTTTAATATTAGAATAATTAGTAGAAAAAGTCTTTGAATAATTGACTGCAGAATCAGTAAAAGTGGAGCTATTAAAACTTGTAGGCCTTTGAAATCTTAAATAACAAGAGGCCTAGCTGCATTTACGGGAAGCACAGAGATTCTTGAATCTTTCTATTCACGTATCCCAGAGATTCTATTTATGATCCTTGGAAACGAGAACGTGCACTACAAATGGCTGAAAGAAGGAATATTATAAGCAAGCTCGGGGGCTTGTTGTATTTTCCGAGTAAATGCGGCTGCGGTTGCATCGACAGAATGAGCTTCGATAATCGAGGATAAAGGAGCGTTTGCGAGGAAGCAAATAGCATTACGTTAAGAAGGATTGGGGAGGGCTAATTTTGAGAGTGAGAGAAAGAAGGAACGTTATCTTACGGAAATTGGTCGATAAGAATAATACGTGGAAATATATTATCGAGGCATTGAAAACAATTACTCGCGATACACGGTAAACGATTGTTTTTGTTAATTCAAGTGGTGATATCCGTAAAAGCCCGAGCCTGAATCGCCCGATGAATAATGCGTTCCGATTCATTCGTACGTACATACATAAAATATTTACTATACACTCGCAATAAATTTTTACTTCCAATAGCATGGAAGAGACCTTTATTACAAATATAAATTTTTTGATAAATAATACTTTATGAGATATTTTATATCGAAATAAAGATCCCTACATGCATGCATATATGCAGATGCACGTGTAAGATCGTAAAAAAATAAGAGGGAGTGTTGGCTAACAAAAGTTCTAAAAAAACACGCGCGAGTTTTTCGTCTAAAGTTTTAAAGGCAAAGCCGTGACAGATACTGATGCGTATGAATTAATTATTAACGCTAATTTAACTCCTTTGTGTCGCTTTCAATAGGAATTCATTTTACACAGTTGATACAATTATCAACGTATCATTGTTACTATGCTTTACTATTATTACAAATGTGCTTATTTAATTATTACATTAAATCAATTAGGAACTCTATTTAGTAAATGGAGAAGTAATTCTATTTTCTTCGTCTCCTAATTTTGAATTAACTGATTATTGTTTTCTGCACAACTAATAATTCTATATAATTTTATTAAATTAATAAATATATACATGAACATTATATGTATATGTTCAATAGAAATTAATATAACAGGAATTTTTTAATCAATAATTTAATCAAGAGATCGATATCATAAAATGAATTAAAAGCGAATTACCTTTGATTTCTCAAAGTAAGTAGAAAACTCAATGACTAAAGCGACATTCGTTGTAGAATACTTTGATGTGAAACTATTGATTCGCCTTGATGAGAAAAATGTGCAACTACGGTAAAAAAGGCTGTGTAAAAAAATGTTCATTAAATTTGAATAAAATTCATATTAATTTTGATATAAAGTCAAAAATAATTGTAGGGAATTAAAAAATTTAAAAGTTTAAGATTATTCAAAAGAATTGCGTAATATAGAGAATTATATGAATAAAATACCTATTAATATTTAAAACTAATTAATACGTTTAAGAGCTTACTTTATTAAAGCACTTTATCAATTTTTAATATGTTTAATTCATACATAATAAAAGTTCTGAACTTTTGAAAAGATTTTTTAAAATCAACGTCATAAAGCTAATAGTTCAAATGGGAGCGAAAACTACACTTTCCGAGAGCGACGTTTCTGAAAGCTGCTTTTTGAAAATCGATACATTTGACCCTGAGCACGATACACGGTAATCATCTTGTCTCCCTATAGATACCCTGGTGCATACTGACGATGCAAGGAAGACTATAGGAGCAATTAGTCTAGACCAGCGGCCTCCTGTATTAGCTTCACAATAAACGCAATAGATGCGACTGGCCATAAATTCCTGATGGGCCACTATACGAGCAAATAGATGCATCTCTATTTTACCCTCCTCTTTATTCTCCTCCATTCTTCTCTTTTTACGTCCTCTCTTCACAAGGCCATAAAATTTTTAAGACCGTATTTCGTGAATAGTGCTTTTCCTTAAAATTGCGTCGGATTAGATCGAATATTTAATCAATATTCGAATATTGGTCCTATAAATTCCTTACAGACAGATCAAATATTTATGTAATTACAGTTTAATTATTACAAAATGTGTTTACTACATTTTACTTTTTACTGCAGAATACCACAGAACTTTTATTGTAATCTTCGAGAAAGCTTACAATTGATATTAATTGTTTAATATTCTGGCATTAATAAGATTATTTTAATATCTTTATTTTAAAAATTATTAAGTTTGAAGCCTTTTATGTATTTAATAATTTTATTAAAAATTAAAATGATTAATTAACAATATATTAAGAGCAATTATATTTTTATTGAGATATTCAAGATATCCTCTTTTATCGCATTAGCATAAAAAATGGAGATCGGAATCGATGTGAAAATTTAAATGCGCCATTTATAGAGTCTTAAAAATTCTTATTAAGTGCAAAGTTATCCGTTGTGGGAGGAGTGCCGCTCTCGAAGATAATGCATTGCTGCTTGCAATATAGCCCAGCTAGTACGGCATTTGCAAGGATTACAGCTCCATAACCGAGTTCCGAATTTCCGATAGCGTAGCTTTCACTGTAAGAAAGCCTTTTTACAGCATCTTCGTTATTGAATTTATCGATGTTCTAAAATAAACGCATTTACGGGATTTACTACTGGGCAACAGGTCCTTAAAGAGTCTTATGTAAGGATTTTAAAAAATTAAATAAAATTGATTATATATTTAAGAATACATTTTATATTTTTATATTTTTTATTTTTTATAGTTCATTTTTTTCAATATAAAAAGATCTCACATTGTAAGAATATATTACCGTTAGACGTCACATAAAAATATCAAAAATTTAATATGAATAATATTACACTAAAAAATATATTAATAAAAAAGTAATCAAAGGATAAGAGCTTCAAAGATTATTTGAAATGATTAAAATAGGATACTACGTAAGTACCTAAAATCTACGTAAAAAAAAAAACTGATATTATGTTCAACAAAAATTACATTGAGCTCTCGATAAAAATATTTATACCGAGCCGATATTAATCCCGGTTTTTATCAACAAGACAATCTTCCGTTGGCAAAGTTGCCGCAAAATATTAACGTCAACGCTGCTGTCTACCTTTTATCTTCCATGTATGAGATTTTAATATAAAACACGGAATTTTAATATAATGTTGTGTTACCTCGAGACGTTTGTATATAATATTCCGACGTGAATACGTCGCTGTTATAAATCCGTATAATTAATTTTCATATAATAATTTCTTGTATATAATGCACACTTTATGAGAATTCTCCATTATACGAATTTGTATGACAACGAATATTTTATTACTTATTATCTGAATATTTGACTCTGCATTATTCAAATAATGCATTCGTTTCTGACACACGCATTTCGAATGAAACTTGAAAAACATGTAAAATTACTTTTTAAATGCAATTGAAAATAAAAATATGTAATTTTACTAATTTAGCTTATTTTTTAATAACTATTTTAAATATTTCATCAATTAAAATTTAATATTTAAAAGCCTCCTGCCTTTATTTACAATAGTTTTTACTAGTGTAACGATAGAAAGCATTTTACTTGTAAGAAAAAATTTGAACTAATAAACGAATTTTAAAATTTGTGGACAATATAAGTTTAAATATTTGACTGTTTCTAAAAATATGAATAATTGCAAAAAACTTTTTCTATTTAATGTTCTTATTAAACAGTTCTTTCAATACACGCTTTATAAAATTACATTAACATTTAAATATTTCTTTTTCAAACATTTAGCAACTTTGCTAAATATATAATACTATTCACTTTAGTTTTAATAATTCAAACTTGTAATTAATTTATACTTTGTGTATGTAATAGTTATTAATATACATTCTCTATTATATTATAATAAATTCTTGCAAATAAGCTCTATTATATAAACTCTTATAATGAAGTCTCTAATTAGGTAGAAACACATGGAAACTGTTTTATGTTTTCTCAAGGAATCAATGTTCACTCCCCGATTTCCACGCTGCCGCGCGAAATATTAATCAAAGAATTTCCATCACATGCCCTGACCGCGCTTTCTTCGATAAATAATAAGCGTGAGAGCTACGCGACCAGCAAAAGTAATTTTCGAGCTCCTGCGCGCCCGATGATTAATGATTTCGGTCGCTGATATTGATGAACTGCCGCGCGCGAACTTCGTATAATCGCACCGGCGATTGGCAGCTGCTTTCAGCTTCCTCGCATTATTAATCTTGTAGTGTCCGATTGTGAATATTTTCCTCAAAAAAACGTATTCTCGTTTTCCCTCCCTTACATCACATCATATATCGGTGCTCGTACACGATTGTGGAATCCGAAAAATGAGAAAAAAATTTGTGGTAATTCAAAAATGTTCAAAAATAAGAAATGCTAAAATTCGAGAATATTGAAGAATATTATCTCTCTCTTGTCTCTCTCTGGTCTCTTGTTTCTATTAAAAACTGAAGAAACAATAGATATCAAATATAACTTACGAAGCTAACACGAGTGTTGCAATGACCAACTTTATCTCCATCCTTAGAATTTCATCTTTTGTAAGGGATGCCGGCGACGAGGTTAAAGTCCCGAGTGACGTGTCCGCAAGAACGTCGAAATGGCAGAAAAAGTGAGGGCAGCGCGAAAAAAGATCATGAACGGAGTGACGCTGGGATGCGCGTCTCTTTCATATGCAAATTTAAACTTAACAAAAGTGCGACTGAATAATGCAGTCGCCCGCGGTGTCGGCTGGATTTTATTTCACTGTTCAATACCACTAAGAGTTACTGCTGTGCCATGTATAATAATGTAATAAAGGGTGACAACACCGTCCTCCAATTATTTAAACAAGAATTTCATAATCGTACTTTATATAATTTTGTGTGATAATATTATTAAAAAAAAATGTTTTTCTCCGGAACAAGATTCATGCGACACATGTCAATCACTTAGCCAACTGTTTCTGTGCCCTACGAGCGCACCTTCGCTATTCTATTTGCCGTTGTAGCTTTTTATTTCCACTTAAGAACCATTCATATTTAAAGCTATATCCGCCGTGGGCCAGGATTTACCGATGCTGCTGCTTAGTAAAGTATGTAAAGCAGTAGCCCTCTCCTTCTCACAGCGGTACGATATATATAGTTTGCCAAGCAGTCGCCTCAGAAGTAAATCCACCACAAGCTTTATGTTAGTTCAGGGAGCCGAGGCTAGCTTCGACGCACCAATGGCAAAACCTTTCCGAGTACTTGTGCGAAGCTGAGGATTAGCCTTTCTGGTATCCCAAAAATCTCGAGCCTTTTTTAACAACGAAGGTAGGAAAAGTGAAGAACCCTTGATTCTCATAACGCTAAGATTCTCGAATTATGGGATTCTATATTTAAGTGGGATTAAAATTATTGGGAATGATGCAGTTTCTCCAGCAAAACCCCATAAAGAATTCTATTGCATCAAAAATAAGTTCGCGAATGAATAAACAATTTTATCTTAAAATTTATATTTTTTGTATTAATCGTAAACCATTACTTATACGAATTTTAATCGTAATTATGCTTTTTCTAATAAGCATATGTACACGTGACCACAAATTACATTTTCTAAATTCATCATTGCTTATCACAATTGCAATCTAAACCAAAGGGAATTTTCTTGAAGAGCAGCTGGAAGCCAGTCGGGATAAATTTCGTAGGACATCGAGACAAACTGCTCCCCGAAGTGCTGTTGCGCGACGTTTATTTATCTGGACGAAAAAAAGAAAAAGTTATTGTTTCACCCCACACCGACAATTTTTCTTTTTCTTTCTGCGAGTCTGCGATCGGACGAGTTTATCGGTAATTTTTACCTACGATCGCACGAATCGCTTCTATTGGCATTTCTTTTCGAAGATACATAAGAGTAATCTGCTTACTGTTTCGCATTTGGTTATAAAATTACGGTTTTACATGCAGAAGAAAAGGAAACGGAGGGAAAATGAGAAAATCTTCTTCTCCTTTCTGCTCGAGTCTTAGCAACAAGTGTTCTTCGAGGAATATAGCTGCAGTTCATAAAACAAACTGACTGAGGGATTGTGGCTAAGAGAATGATAACTCACGAAACATAACTCTCATGAAAAGCGGAGAAAGGTTTGCTAAATGTAGCACAAGTATTGGATCCGGTACGTCTTACATCGCCGACGTAATCCGTGTGATACGTTCACGAATAACAAAGGAAAAGTTATAAATTAGCATACATTGTTACAGATATAAATAAATCTTAACGTTTTTACATTGAAATACTTGAATTTGATTACCATTTCTACAATACTGTGATAGGTACCTTTGAGATTTATATTGAATATTTAAATAAATCGAAATCAATCTCTTAGATATATAAGTATGTCCTAAACTTTTGATTGAATATATTTTTCGGTTCACATTGTCGTCGACAATTGTTAACTAGGTGATTTTACGCGCTTCTGAGCGGTTTTCTAGAAATTTTTTGTTATCATGGGACACAAAAAGCCCCCCCGAGAATTGGCCGTTCTCGAAGTTTAAGCGGAGGTTTAAGAGTCGGCCGATCGTAAGTAGTTCGCGAACTCGACAACCGCTTAGGAAGTTCGGTGAAATTCGGAGAACGCCGAAAGTGATTTCCGACCGCCGGAAACTTGCTTAAATCTCGAGATGATTTTCGGGGGTTACGCGAGTTTATGGCGGCCGCGTCGATTGGAAACTTTCACGCAGCGCTTCTTACACGAAATGGCGTTCTCGGAAAGTGGTCTCAGAGGCAGATGTTTCCAGGATTCTAAAATTCCTAGATGAAGAGTTGAGAAATGCGCTTTGAATTTCTAACTCTAAGATTCGCAGTTGTAGCCGTTACATTAGAGACTCAGAATAAAGTTTCGTATCTTGAAATGCAGACAGCTTAATGTAAGTATCGCTGAGCTTTTAGAAAAGATTAATTTTACTCAAGCGTGTATTACTATCTTATTAAATCAATTACATAAGAAGACAATTATCATATCTTTCAAAATATAAAAGCAGAATAATAATAAGAGATAATATTTTATAATTCTTTGTTCTAAATGGTTTAAACAAATATTTTTAAACTTTAAGTTAAATTTTTTATAAAAGTGTAACTGTTTGCATAGTATAATTACACCATATATATATATGTATAAACATTAGTCATGATCCAAAAAGATTTGAGAAGTGACACGTAAGTTAAGTTAATAATTTTTTATAAAATAATTGAAGCAAATTTTGCAAATTATTTCTAAAGCAGCAATAATACTTTTATACTCACATCCTTTAAAATTATCAGAGGATTGAATTTCAAAAGTAGATGCCAGCTGCACCAAACGTTGCATAAAATATGACACGAGGATACCTCGAAGTCGCAACTGACAAACCGGCATCCCAGTTGCAATTCGAGGTCACTGACGTAGGAGAACGATGTCTCGAGTGTCGTGAATATCTCTCCGAAGCGCCGTCTCCGAAATGTCGACTTGCCGCGACGATAAAACACGACCCAAGAAGCTGCACCGAGGAACAAACATCACCTCGCTGGCTGATGATATCACGAGTAAGAATCGAGTCATACACCTATATGTTTGTCAGGGGCACGTAGTACGTAGCCGACGAGCGAAATACATTCCACCTATTCCTGAATTCGATATTGGCCAATAAATCAGTGCCATACGTAGGCCACCTTATCGGTACGCGGTCCCCTAGATCTTTATGGGTATCTTTATGGGTGGATTTGGGCGATACGCGCCGTGGAAGATCCGCTAGGTACACTTTTAAATCTGAAGCTTCCTGCCGGAAGCACGTACCGCCGATCGATTTTTCCTATCGTTAGACGAAAAATAGTGGATACCGCGGTCGTCGGAATATATAAGTAAGCATAGTCTATACTTTATAGTCACTGCTGACGGAGGAAGCGATAACATTTTTTTTATATATCGTATTAGATTCGTATTAGTTTTGCTTAAAATAATTACGCTTTAAAGAGCAGTATGTTCTTACAAAATTACATTATTTTAAGTAGCAAAAAATAGATTAATTTTATTAAAATTGAAATAGCAATATGAGAGAGTGAGAAAGAGCGACAATTACAAATGAAACGCTACTGCAAAAACGGAAGAAACCATAAGATATCAAAGCAATTTCCTGTATATTGCAATAAGCAGCAGCTGCAAGTGCAATTGAAGACGATGACAAGGGAGTGTAGAGGACGAAAGTGTGAGACCGAGAAAGTTCGCGTGAGAGAACCGGGTGCAAAAAGCGGTGGAATAGAACTGTGGAATTCGGAGGACGGCAACGGTCATAACTTTGTGTCCTGTCACTTCCGACAGTAGCAGTCTGCGCAAACTATTCATCATGCATGCATGCAGTGAGCCCGAGCTTACGGACGTGCATCCGCGGGGCTGCGCTGTCTTTACGCGCGGTACGATCGAAGTGCGAATGCACGCGCGACTGTATGTATATTTGCTTTTCGTTTCCACAGTCGCGAGCCGGGAAGGGGAGGGCAGGTTCTTCTTGCGGAAAAATATGCTCCCCGTGCTCGATTTGTTCCGGTTTATAAAACTCGCTATTTGGAAAAGAGTCGATGGGCAGATAGCTGCGAATGTTGATATTTCATCAATCAATAAAGTGTCAGAGAAATATGTGTATGCTGCCAAATCTCGTTGCACAACAGACTCCATTTGGATCTTGAAATTAAGTTTGTTGCGCTGAAATTTCGTTTCATCCAGTTATCGCGCACAGTATTCTATTGAGAATTTAGAATTAAGTTTCGTTATAGTTAAATTTTGATTGTATCCATATTTGATACAAACGAATTTTGCTGTATATCGATTGGAAATAGGATAAATATTTTTTCATCAATTTTTAGCGAGTTCCGTTAATCAATTACAGATCATTCTTCTAGCAAAATATTTAGAATTTATTTCTGTATTGTCCAACAATATGCCTATATTATCAATGCATCACTCTGTGAAACAGTTTTAATTCTTTTATCAATAAATGTAATAAAAGGAAGTACTTTATATCGGACGTGTATAATTCCAGATGCATATCTCCATGAGGCGATAATACGTTTTGCGAAATCTATCATGCCAACTCAAAGATACGTCGTCAAAGATAAAGGGAACCAATTGTCCAGATAGTGACATGTCGGAAACCTCGACGTGGACTGAGTTATGATTGACGGAAGGTCATCGATCAGACGCAACTTGGTAAATGCACTCCGAGGGAGCTACTTCAAAGATGAAGCGTCGATCGATCGCCCGTATATCGGAGTCCGGTTCGTCTCAGAGTTTCCTCGTTAGAACGCCTAACCTGGCGTCGTGTGTTTTCCTTCCAAAATTGACAGGACGACCGATAGGTCGCTCGCAACTTCCGCAAAGTGTTCAAAGGCGAGCGATAGCTCGATCGAGCTCAATTTGCGACAATTCTTGATTACGACTACCGAGTATGGTAGAACACCGGAATTCGTGAAATTAAATTAGCCAATGAGAGTATCCCATAGGAATTTGCGACCTGCGGTTGTTATACGCATGGAATGCTGCTAAATAGTTTCCTTGAATTTTATTGAAGACTACAAGTGAAGAATTGATTATTTTATTGCTTGAGTTAAATTGTTTTTAAATTAGTTTAAATTATTTATAATTATAATCTAAACTATTTAAACTAGTTTACTAATAAGCGCTACTATAAATTGAGTATCTAAAGTTTCTTTACGTATAAACATTTTTTTTTATATTAATCACTATTTTTACTATAAATATAAAGATCAATTAGACTAATAAATTAAATATACAAAGAATATGGATAATACAATAAATATTAATTATTTCTGTAGATACTTGAAAGTATACA